TTTTCAGTTAGTCATAAAAACAGAGAAAGGAGATAAAAATGAACCCTGATGTAAACATATATCTTTTTGATGCATTTTTATACTATACAATGCCCTCTAGCGTGTTGCATCTGTCATCATGAAATTATGTATGACTGTCATCACCAATCAAAATGTGTGTTAGGGATGCACTGAAACCAGGAATTCTTGATGCACTTTGCTAAAAAAACTAAACGGAAAATGCTTTGTAATAAATATTTATTATGTTAAATTAAATATTATAAAGTAATTTTGTAAGAGTTTTTAATTGAACTAAATTTTAATGATACTGAATTACAATTTGACAGAAAATATATTAATATTAAATATCAATATATAATTTTTATTCAGTTCAATGCAACAGAATCAGATATACATTTTATTTATTTATTTATTACTAATTATCCAAATAATGTATAGTCCTTCTAAGCTATTATCATCCGAGAATGTGAGCAGATCACAGCAGGGAGCAGATCAGTGAACGAGAGCAGCATCATTTTACCAGCGTTACCATGTTAATCATGTCAGCAGCAGCGCTGAAGCAGACAGGAACAAGTTTACTACATAGACATTTCCAGTCGGCTAGTTATTTGAGCAGACTTTGTTTTTTCGTTGAGCGGTACACGAGCAGAACACACATTCATATGTCCCTGATGTTTATGTAGTATAATTTCACTGAGGTAGTCAAAACTTTCTGTTTTTGCTTCAAATTGGGCTATTATTAAATTATACTAATTATGTACATGAAATTATATACACATATACATATATATACAGTATATCCTGGTGTGAATGGGTCTTGACAGAATATCTTTGTCATATATCAATGTGGTCACCAGAAAAGTAAGGTCAAATCAGGAGAATTGTCTGTGCATTTGACTAAACTTTTTTTTTTTTGCTTCAATAGGAATTTGTTGCTATTGAAGATACATCCTCATGTGAATGCCTTGGATATTCAGTGTAATGTGTACTCATGTGACCATATACCTTTATTTTTAGAACTGAATCTTTATCGTTATCTAAATTGTTATCGTCCTTGGTGTGAATGAGCCTTAACGGTTCCATAAATAAAATGTAGTACCATAAAACCCCCTAAAAATACAAAATATTAAATAAAAAACATTATGAATCTAAAAAATTAATTAAAATGAATGTACTGTTTTGGATCAACTTGGAAGGCCTCCTCTGTATATGCATGAAAGTTTATTTTTCTGAAAAATATGCTTTTCTTTCTCTCTTCATTTTATTAAAGTTTTTTTTTTTTTTCTTCAGTCATGATATTTGTTCATCTTTATAGACAAAATACCATATACAAAAACAAAACTGGGCTAAAGGAAAACCCAACTCAGTGTGTTTCATATCTATCTGAAATAATACAGAGTTACTAACTTGGGTTGAAAATGGTAAAACAAAAGGCATTAATGTAGCCTAGAGCTTTTACGTTAATTGTTAAAGTCAAAGCATCATTTCTGACAATTGATACCCACTGATCACTAAAACTGCTTTGAAATTATATGCAATGTAAAAACAATAATAAATACTTGACTTGAAGAAATCTGTCTCATTATCTCTTCATATGTTACTTTCACTGTTTATGCACATAATTTATTAGTACAGGGTGAAACTACCGGTGTTCAGAATTTTTATTTCATCTAGACAAGAGCGTAGGCTATTTCACTAGTTTCTGTATTAAATATGTGTTTCACATATCCAAGTTGTTATGTTTTGTTAGTTTGTATGATTTTTGTTGTTGTTGTATGGTTTGTAATTATGTTTGGATAAATCTCTGTACACTTCAGGAAGCCAGCAGATCCTCAGACTTAGGCTGTGCTTCTAGACTAAATGTGAAAAAAGTGCTCACTTTATTTCAAGTCACCGCCTACGTTAGGCTGCACACTGTAAATAGTTTGTTAAAAAGCAATACTAGATTAGAGCAAATATAAGGAGCATTGTCAATTGTGTTGGCTTTCAGTATTTTCTCTGTGTATGTGGCTAAATCTAGTTAGGCCGATAAGGTACTGTTGAAGGTAAAAAAAAATGTTTTATTTGAAATGGGACTAAACTAAACACTAATATGCTCAGATCCGAAGTTTGATTCGAAACACCCATGTCACGTGACTAAGGCGAATCAAAGCATCGGGGCGTTTCACAAGTGTTTCCAGACCCGAATCTGCTTTTGATCATCGACAGGGTCAGGAACAAACCACACAATCGCACATACCTTAACCTAACTCTCGCAAAGTATAAAAGTGGAGTTAATGCAGCAGAACAATTAATATATTTAAATAAAAATCTTTAAAAAAAAATACCAGACTTTGTGGCTTGATGTCTTTTATTGATTTTTTGATGACCAAAACAACATTCACAAAGAGTTCATTCGGTTGTCAGAGAGATGTTACAACACATTACAAGAACAGAACAATAAAAACACAACTTTTAAAATATTTATTATAATTTTATACATGCTTCACCCGGGATTTGAACTTAAACTGACAAGTTCTAACAACATGCCAATTGTGCATGCTAACCACTCCCCCAACCAAAACAACAAGCAACATACAGTATTGTAGCATGTTCAAAATGTTGTGTTATAGATAACAATGTGCTTAATGTTAGTGTTGCACTTTATTAATTTTTGTGTTGCAAACTGTTATTGGATGTTCGAGAGGGATGTGAAAAGAGGCTCCGCCCCTGTGTGTGTGTAAGGGGAAACAGAGAGAAGGAGGGGGGAAAAGAGTGCCTCGCTGGTTCAAGTGCGGTTCTCTTATGGCACTTTTCCACTGCGTGGTACGACTCGGCTCGGCACGGCTCAGTACGGCACGGCTCGGTTTGCGTTTCCACCCCAATTTAGTACCGCTTTAGAGGGGGCGGGATTATTCACATGTCGTTATAGTTGCGCTGCCTCTACTGCCGCGACTCCTGAAAAACGTTTTCATTCTGCGTCGCCCCATCAAGCTCGCTGGATCCGGTCCTCTGCTATCAACGAGAGGAACGTCTGTACTTCCTCAACATGGGGAACAGCCACTTTTTGGTTGTTAAAAAAAGGTGCGCTCGTTCAAAACAGTTGCGTTAGATACTTTGATGGCTGTTCTGATTTAGATCTAGTGGTTCTTTTGTGTTTGTGTCGCAAGTTCAGTGACGCAGGTAGTGACGATTCTCTCCAGCCAATCCGTGATCAGCAGAGTTTACACGTCACGTTTTGGTAATGGTACGGTTCACTTGGAACCCCAACCGAGGTGGTACTAAAAAAAGTACCAGGTACCAGGTACTGTCCCCAGTGAAAACCCCCCAAAAGTGAACCATACCGAGCCATACCGTGCCGTGCCGTACCATGCAGTGGAAAAGCGCCAATAGAAGTCGGGGTGTGTACGGCGTGGGTTGTGGCCGAAAACAGCCCAAACAAACACCCCTTGTACATCAAAGCACCTCGTCCTTGTCGGAGAACGCTACAGTATGTTATAATTCGTCAATTCGCTTAACTTCTCCAAGTAGGTATAACTGCAGACCGGAGATCTCCAAAATGGGGCGTGAACTCCAAAAGTGGGCAGAACCTCCAAAATGGGGCGAGGTCTCCTCGCGCAAAGACTTTCACCATTGGCTCTGGCTTCAGCCAATTGTTATTGACTTACATTTCAAAATAAAACTTTATAAATGTAACATTGTTTCTAGTTCATCTAAAATAAAATATGATATATAAATAAATATTCTCCGTGAGAACAGAGCCCAAAGCTCGTGGCCAGTGGTGTTTGGACTGGAGTTTGAACCTCTGCTTAATGATATAAACGGGAATCACCCACGAGCAATCCCGCA